GTGTCATATGATCCTTCAGAAATAATTCTAATATGCTGATTTATTATCAGTGTTGAAACTGTTGTGCTGCTTAATATTTTTTTGGAACCTGTGTTCCATAAATAAAATAAAAAGTTAAAAAGAACAGAATTTATTCAAAATAGAAATATTTTCTAACAATATCACTTTTTATCCATTTAACACATCCTTGCTGAATAAAAGTATTCTAAAAGTTTTTTTAAAAAAAAAGAAAAAAAGAAGAAGAAGAAGAAAAAAAGAAATCTACTGACCCCAAACCTTTTTTTTTTTGGAATAGTTGTGTATATTTAACAAAAAATTTTTTTTGAATAAATACTTTTTTTTTTTAACCTATTATTTATCAAAGAATCCTGAAAAAATATCACAGGTCCCAAAAAATATTAAGCAACACAACTGTTTCCAACATTGATTATAAATCAGCATATTAGAATGATTTCTGAAGGATCATCAGAAAAATCTGGATGGAATAATGATGCTGAATATTCAGCTTTGCTTCACATTATTTATCAAAGAATCCTGAAAAAATATCACAGGTCCCAAAAAATATTAAGCAACACAACTGTTTCCAACATTGATTATAAATCAGCATATTAGAATGATTTCTGAAGGATCATGTGACACTAAAATCTGGAATAATGATGCTGAATATTCAGCTTTGCTTCACAGGAATAAATTATATTTTATTCTATTAAACACACAACATTTGCACAAAATTACAGTTTTTTCTGTATTTTTGATAAAAATAAATGCAGGCTTGATGAGCATAAGAAACCTCTTTAAAAAACATTAAAAATCTTACTGATCCCAAACTTTTGAACGGCAGTGTATATATATATATATATAGGCTATAGGCAATCTACCTCATGAACAGTTAAATGTTCTCCCATTGTGCAATACAAATATGTGCAATAACCTTATACTGTTTATCTCTTTACATCCTAGTACATCCCTACAACTTTATTTTTTATTCTATTCATATTCTACAGTATTTTATCTATAGCACACCTGTACATATTTATCCTTTGTGTGTGTGTGTGTGCTTTATTTATATTTATACATATGTGTATTTTATTCACATCTTATTTTTATTATCTGTGTGTTGTTGTTGTGTCTGTGTACTGGAAGCTTGTGACACTAAAACAAATTCCTTGTATGTGCAAACATACTTGGCAATAAAGCTCTTTCTGACTTCTGATGCGTGTGTGTAATATAGCCTACAGTAGGCCTACTACAGTATATATGAAAATGCATATTTTTCAATTAAAGAGAACTTATAGAATAAATATGGACTGCTTTGGGTACTTGACACTTTATTGGTAATTTTGTGTTTTAAGAATGATATTCAAGGTTAAGAATACGCTGGAAGTTACTTAAATGTAAATACGACTTTC